TTATTTTAAGGGTTATTATAAATTATTGCAGGTGTTTTTAATATTATTTTATCATTATATTTTCATTCTGTAACAGTGTAAATGCAGGATTAACTTGTTGCATTATTTTTTAATATCCTTTTCTATATACAACATTAAACAGTAGAAAATTAGTAATTAACTATTCTATTGTAATTAACTTTAACTTTGATTGTTTAGATTCACCATGTAAAATTACTTTTTTTATCATTGTATTAATATTTAATTGATATTTTTTATTTAAATTTAATAGTAATTTATCTGGTTCCAAGATTCTATGTATTAATCATAAATGTAATTACATATTTCCAGTTTCTTTATCATGCTTATAACTTTTTTTACATTTAGTTTCTTTACCCTTTTGAAATATGATTATCTTATAAATATCATATTCATTTTTTTTCAAAGTATTTTCAAATAAAACTTTTTTTTTTATTGACATTAGTTGAATTAGAAAGATTTATTCAAATCTTTTTTTCATTTGATTTTTCAGAAGGTTTTTTTATAGCTTTTCTTCTGGTTGCATTAGTAAAAAAATCAATTTCTTGAATTTTGCTATTAATATCAAAGATATTTTTATTATTACTTTTTATATTTTAAGATAAAAATTATCTCATAATGTTATAAAGCTAAAATTTTAAGTATCAAATTTTTTCAAAATAAAATTAATCTATTAAAAACAAGTTTCATATATAAATAATTATAAAATATATTTTCTGATATATAATAGTATATACAATATCATCGATAATATTCACATTAATCATATAATAGTAATTTTTACTACCATTTTCTTCCTTGTTTAATCTTCTTTTTCTTTATTATTTAAGTTCTTTATATGATATTTTAAATAATTTTTCTTTTTAATTATGACCCATTATTTAAAAAAAATAATTTCTTCTTTAAATTTATGATTGGTGCATTTAATTTTATAAAATTACTTATATTATAACCTTCTGGTTACTAATAAAACAATTATTGATAAACTAGTTTCATTTTAATATAGTCAATTTTAAGAATTAATTTATTTTACTACTTTTGAATCATATGTACTTTTATTATTTAATTAACTGTTAGTAGATCTTATCTGTGAGTAAATTACCTAAGTGATCATAATGCAACTTGGATATTTAATCCACTTATGGATAATCTGAATTATTACAAGGTATAATGAAATAATATTTATAAAAAATATTTATATTTTAATCAATTATAAGTGTTGATCACTAGCCAATAAAAATAAACTATTCTTATATTATAATTAGGAATAGTAATAATCATATAATAACATATGTATATCATATGATGTAAAACTATTGATGTTAGGATTTTATTTATAAAATTTATATCATTTACATATTTTATTCATCATCATTATTATTTAAATTATCTATTAAATCTATTAAATCAATATTAAAATCCTGTAAAATATTATCATCACCTTTATTAATTTCTTTATCAGTATCAATTTCTTCTTTAATACTTTTATTATTTTCATTATTAATTCTAATATTAATTTCATCTAACTTATTTAATCTCTTATTATCATGAATTCTAAGATTTGCATAGATATAAACAAGTTTTTTAACATAATCATTGTATAAACAATTATGAATTTTGTTATGAATAAATTCAAAAGTAGAAAAATTACATTCAGCAGCAGCTGATAATATAGAAATTGAAAGGATTTTAATTGTTATAAGTTGAAGTTTACTATTTGATCATGATTTTTATCACATTGATGGAATAAGTATAAAAGTTGATTTTCAAATTATATCATTATTATATAATAAATTCTTATTTCAAAATTTAATCAATTCTACAAATAATTCTAAAGAATTTTCATGACTAAATTGACTATTTACATATGATATAAATTTATTATATCTTACTATTTCCATATTAAGTGTTTTACTTTTTTTCAAAAAATGTGGATCAAATATATATACAACTGCCATAGTTTTATAGTAAATATATTTCTACCATTTTTTAATAAGTTTTTATATTTGATTATTAAAATCACATGGAATTTTTTGAATTGTTTTAATAATTTTTTCAAAATTAAAGTAAACTCATGAAAGAGTAGATATGTCTAATTCAAATAACTTCAATATAATAACTATTGATTGTAAAATATTTATTACCAATTCTAATTTTTTTCAAAAATCTTCTTTAAAAACATGTGCTTTTAAATTATAATATATATTTTATCAAATTTTTAAATCCATTAATGTTTGTTCTATAGTAATTCTTGATCTTTATAATGATTGAAAACATTTAAGATGTGTTCATCATTATATAAGAATTAATAAAACTAATAAAATTTCTTTACCATAATTTTTATATTGAATATGTTGTCATGGGTAATTTCTGGTTTCCTTAAGAACAAACCAGTAGAGTAACTTAACAGTTCTTTTAAAGAGTTTATAATCCTTTCCTGAAGGTAAGACTGTTGTTTAGTAGTTTTAGAAGGTACTACTGATTTAATTATTTAAGAAAGGGAATCAGATCTTTTGTTCAATTTATTTTAATATCTTTTCAAGTTCATCATTATCCTTAATGTTAATATCTATCTATTAATCATCTTTTAATTTCATCAACTTTGAATATTATCTCCAATTATTCAAGTTAATTATTATTTCAAGTTCAGGATTTATAATAATACTTTATAATTAATTTCATTAACTCAAGAATAATAATATTATACAATTATATAACCAAGTATTTAATCTCATAATATCCATTATTCCTTTGTTAACTACATATTTTATCATTTAATATAACTTTTATTTAATATTTTTAATCTTTATTATTTTATTAATTCAATTGCAGATATACGTGTTGCCCAAATCCCAAATCATTTGGGATTTGGGACGCCAAAATCCCAAATTACTAGTATTTGGGAT